TGGGGACGGGCAGGTTTGGGACTTGGGCACTTTCGTGAGTCATGGTTGGCACCACAGTTCTTGCAAAGTAAATCATTTTTACATTGCAAACTTATATGGCCCGGTTCCTGACAACGAAAGCACTGAACCCTACTCTTCTTATACGCTCTGACCCTTAAACTGCATCCTTCAAAATAAACTGATCCACGGATCATATTGTTTGTCAGTTCTTTATCCAATAAGTTAATTAAAATAGAACCACTTGTCTGTCCCTCGTGCGGTGAGCTCAGCCACCGAATCGAGTGAATCTTGTTTTTAGGGATCGGGTTTTGTGTTGTAAGGATTTCCTCGAGTTCGTTTGGGTTCGAGTGGAACTCCATAGGTACTGAGTCGATTACGGCAGGGAAAACTACCGGGGACGTGATCAAATCGGGGTCTGCTAAGGTGGACCAAGAGCTTCTATTTTCGAGTAACCACGTTGCTTCGGCTCTCGTGGTTGTGAACAACTTGATGCTTCCGGATGGGAGACTCGCAGCACCCTTGACTTCTAGTTTTTTCCCTCCGATCGTCACGTTGAGTTGAGCTAGTGCCTCATTCACTCTCTTGACAATTTCCGTGGCCTTGACCTTGTCAAAGGGCTTTTTCCCCTCGAGACTCCGGATGATGACCTGGCTCGGTCTGAACGCGTTGATCACTTGATTCGACGGGGGAGCTTGCGGTGTTTGGTTCGACGTGATTTTTAAACCAGCAGTAGCTGTCGCTGCCCAGGTTTTCGGCTTCATAGGGAGTCCTTCGCCGTTGGGTCGTGGTTCTGCCACACCTCGTTGTAGTGCGATCAGTGCTTTCAGTTGCTGTTCTAAGTTGTCGATCCTGACGGTCGATTCGCGAGCTTTCTTTAGCTGGTCTTCCATCGCAGTCATCCTGAGGGCCGTTTCTTGCATTGAGATCGCTAGAGCCGTGATAATGTTGACTAGGTTGGCCGGGACAACCACGTCACCATTTTCTAACTGATTGTTCTTCTTTAAAAAACTCCATAATTGAGCCATTGACATCGATTCCAGTCGTTGGGTCGGTTCATCGTCAGTCAAGTCATTCATGGTTGCTTCTTGGTCATTCGTATTTGCCATATTCGAGTCCTGATCGGTTAAATTAGGCGTCTCCTGAGCGAGGCTGCCTTCGTTGACCGTCGCGTTCTTTCGCGTGTTCGACGCGTCCGGTCGCGTTCCTTGTGGCGAGAAACGATTATTGCGGGTTAAAGATGGGGAAATCGGTGGCATAGAGGAGGTTCTGAGAGCGATAAGGGAGTATTAGTTGTTGAAAAAGGGATGAGGATGGTGGTAAGAAGGTGATTTGCGAAAAAGGAAAACACGAATCCGCAGTCACTGCGGAAAAGTTAACTGTAGTGGTACGAAGTCAGAATTCCCCCCGAGAATGATCTTGATGTGATTGAAATGGAAGCGTTTACATATGGACAACACCAAAACATGTTGTGCGGCCTCCATAGGAGTGAAAGGGTTGTGAAAGAGACTATGGGTGTCACGGATAAAGCGTGACAGAGAGTCAATTGGGCTACAAGCAAGAAACGCAAAGATTTCTACTTTCTCGTCCTCCAATTGCAAAGCAGCTTTGATTTATACTCATTGGTCTTATAAATTGTAAGTGTGTGAGTGTTCTTTATAGTCTTCTAATTGATTTTCTTCTTTCTTGTTGTTATTGATTATGGTCCTGATTTCTACTTGATCTCATCCAAACTATATTCTCACCCTGTCGATCTTTTCAGCCACCCAACCTGTTCTCTATACTCTTGCTATCCTCATAACTAAATTGTTCTGTTGATGTAAAATTTCATTCATATCAAGTGTTGCCTTCCCTTTAGCCCTGACGCAGACTCACTCTTGATACCCCTCCGTCACAATCATCACCTGCTGTCACCTCAAGATGAGGTAGTTGTGGTGAAGGGGGAATAGCAGGGGTTGAGGGAGATATGGCTTATGTTGAGATAAGAAAAGAAGAGGAGTTCAAATAGTCAAGAGGTAGTCAGTTCGAAGCAAAGCATCAAATCATATTTGATGTTGGTTGAGCTTGTTGCGGATGACCTACTAATAGAGATTCATTAGAAAAAAGTCAATGAAGAAAAGTTATGATTCATCTTACCAGGATGACTTCCGCCTTGTTTGTTGATCTCAGGCCATATTGTAAGGTAGCTCATGCCGTAATGAGAAATGATCACATCTGGGTAAAGGCCCGGGCGAGCCTCAACTTAACCCGACAGGCAGATTACGGTCGGTAAGGTTTTCCTACCGAGCGAGCAGATCAATCGCTGGCTTCCACTGAAACCCTGCTACGAGATCCAAGCGAAGAGGGTTCGTGTTTCAATCTTTCATGGTGAGGTCTCGATTAGCCCATTTAAGTACAAACATGCCAAGTGCTTCACGACTCATACTAATTCTTTTCTAATTTACAAAGACCCAAGATGTTGAAGAAAGAAGAAGATCAAAAACCTGACGTTTCAGATGGTATGGAAGTCTTTTTCTTGGTGAACGTGAAACTGCTGAGCAAAAGATTGACGAGAAATTGAATGATCGATGACTGTCCTGTCAGCAAAAGTAGATTGGTGAGTCTTTCTCTCTTCTTGACCAAACTCATCACTCACTTGCTGAGAATATCGATGATGTTTTCTTTGAAGTCCGATTTGTTCTCAACAAGTTTCACCAAACCTCATCAACTCACATCTTGATTCACATCTTCAACAACCTATCATTAACTCATCTTCTCAGTCAACCTTACCATTTCAATCTACTTCTACTAAACGTAAAGTTTCCGATTCTGGTCCTTTGACACCTTTGATTTCGCGTCAATCCAGTCAAAAAAAACGTACGATCACATCATCGCTCTCCAGTCCTTCTTTCGATACTGTTATCAATCACAATATCAATCACAATCCCAATGAGAAAAATAATTCTAATAACCTCAAACCACTCGCTGAGCGCGTTCGGCCTACTACCCTCGATGAATGTATAGGTAATTTTCAGTAGTTTTTTTCCTTCTTTATTTCCAATATCACTAATCTGATTTATTCATTGTCCATAGCTTCTCCAGATCTGATTGGAGGGGGCGTAGGATCAAAACCAGGTTTAATTCCAACCCTGTTACAAACCGGTACATCCATCACGTTCTGGGGAGGTCCAGGTACAGGAAAGACCACGATAGCAAGATGTTTGGCTGGTTCAAATCATTCATTTTACGAGTTATCCGGTATAGATTTTGGTACAGCTGAATGGAGGAAATTGATAAATGATCATACTTCAAGGATTAACCCTTGGCAACGTTCTTCTTCTTCTTCTTCTTCTTGTGTTATTCCTTTGAAAAGGCTTCTTGTTTTTATAGATGATGCACATCGTTTGAATAAAACTCAACAGGATCGTACGTCTTTCTTACTTGAGTTTTTTTTTCGAAAACAATTGGTATGATGATCTAATCCGGATGATAATCTTTAACATAGTCCTTTTACCTCATATTGATTCAGGAGAAGTCATGATGATTTTATCAAGTACAGAGAATCCATCGTTCAAATTCACCAATCGATTAATGTCAAGAACACGCTTAATCGAACTTAAACCTCATTCTCATTCAAACACATTCTCAATTCTTAAAAGAGCCCTTAAACTTGAATCTTTCAAATTAGAAGAAGAGGAAGATCAAATTTTGAGTAGGATCTCGAGTGCTGCTGATGGTGATGCTAGAGTGGCTTTAAATCAATTGGATCTCTTGATTCAGTTTTCTAAATCTTCCGGAACTTCTATCAAACTCAATGAACTTTCTGAAATACTTGGAAAACGTTATGTATTGTATGATAAGTAAGTCTTGATATCTTTCGAATAATTTCTCTCTTTCTTATCTTTTTTGGTAGTTTGGGTCGTATACTCATTTATATTTCTTTGGGAATTTGATTATCAGCGATGGTGATTGCCATTATGACATGATTTCAGCTTTACATAAAAGTGTTAGAGGGAGTGATCCAGATGCAGCATTGTATTGGTTAGCAAGAATGTTAGGTAAGTGGAAAACAAGAAAGACTTACCAAAATATCAACCTAAACAATTTGTTGTCTGAAACCCATCATCCTATTTTGTAGAAGGAGGAGAAGATCCATTATATGTGGGTATGTCTTTCTAATGTTAATGATTTATAGATGAGACTTTATGATTGATTTATCACATTAGCTCGTCGATTGGTCAGAATGGCATCAGAAGATATAGGTGCAGGTAATCCTGAAGCTTTAACTCAAGCCGTAAGTGCTTTTCAAGCAACACAACTAATCGGTCTGTCCTTCTTCAAAACGTTCTTTATGGTTGACTCTTCAGTATCAATTGACTTTAATCCACTTGATTGGTTAGGTATGCCTGAAGCTGATACAATTTTAGCTCAAGTGGTAGTCATGCTATCCGAATCACCTAAAAGCGTCAGGTCATACAAAGCGTACGTTTTGTTTTCTCGAACTAATTCACATTTGAAGATACAAGTTTGGGTTAAACACGAGGGATGGGAATAGGTATAAGCGGGCTAAGACCTTAGTTGCCAACTCACCATCTTACCCAGTCCCTACTCACCTACGTAACGCTCCAACAAAGATGATGGAACAGGTCAGTGAATTTCGTCTTTTCCTAAGTTAACTTCATCGGTCGGATCACTAAGAAAGTCAAGTTTGAGAGTTTTTTTTTGTAGTTGGGATATGGAGTCGATTATAAATATGAACCTGAATATGCTCATCCGATCGTACAAGAATTTTGGCCGGTAGAAATCGATTCAAATCAAAGACAACTTTTAGTAGAAAGGGGATCTTCTACAGGTGAGGTGGGTACAAGTAAAAAAGTGGATTTCAAATTGTTAACGCAATGGGAAGAAGTCAAAAATGGTGGAGTACTTTGGGATGGAAGATGTGAGTTGAAACGCGACGAGTAAATTTTGTAGAATGTCTTTTTTTGTGCAAACGATGGACGCTATGGAGACGTCAAAAAGTACGTCCCCGGGCAGGCTTGAACTGCCAACCTCCTGATAATGTCACACTGGAGGACCCCGGTAACAGTCAGACGCGCTAACCAATTGCGCCACGGAGACACATGCCTGCAAATCAGGTGTTTGACTATATATAGCCAAGCTACACGCAGAGGTCTTTGGTGCAATAGTGTGCACTCAATCTCCCTTGTCAAGCAGGATAAAATATCATAATAGCTGTACATAGAAGAGCATAACCGGGAGGATGAAGTAGCAAGAGGCTTCCAAAAAGCAAAACAAATTGATCCAGAGACGAGGAAAAGAATAGCATGCATTGTTTGAGTCTTGCCTGCATTTCCTGAATGCGTTGTTGACAAAGCCCCGCACCTATATACTACCCGGTGCATACGGCGCACCGCATTGAACCCTGCTTTAACTCAATGTGATGTTCAGAATCATCATATATCTCAGTAAGAAACTCAAGCGATCGACAATTGACTCTCAACTCAGCATTCAACTTCATTACAATAACAATGTCACGCAGGTTAGTCAAGTCTTTCTTTCCTTTGATATCATATAATCTCTTGAGCTACATGTGTCTGACTAGGTTCTGACAGACCACATGTTTCTAAAACTTATGGAGCTAAAGTTGGTATTTCTGGTCCATTTTTTTCGAATAGTTGAATTCTTATATATGAGATTGAAAATACGCCTGTAGCCCGGAAGACGAACTCCATATGGTACTTCAAATGCTCAATGGATCTTGGATTCACCTGAACCTAGTTCCTCTTGGTCTTCACCTTCTGCTTCTGTCCTTGCTCGAGATCCGAAGGACCAAGCTCATAGGGGAAGGAATGACGATCGCGAGCCTCAGACAGTCAGCGAAGTGACATGCGACACGTTACCTGAACCTAGCATGGCCTCGATTCCAGCCAACGATGTTCACATTGACCCCTGCAAGCCTAGACGGAAGTCAAACAGTTTAGAAGGCCCAACGCAACGTGATGAAAATTGGGGAAATCAAGAGGAAGCTTCACGTCTCGCAGTTTGCAAAGAAAATACGAACCAACTCAAAACCTACGGAGCTCGAAAACATAATCAGAAACACCGGGCCAATCGAGAGTTGGCACGTGAGAAGCAAGAGCCTGAAAATATTGTACAAAACGTATCCAATGTTCGACTTGCTTCAAGCAAACCTTCAAATGATCATAGCCGCCGTCATCGGAAGAAGGAAGGTGGTGGTATGATCAGTAGGGATGAAGTTGAAGATTCGGCCATTGCAACACAAACATCCTCGTATAACACCGTTTTACCAAAACCGACTGCTCCCATTCCTCGAGTCGTCATTCCAGTGATCTCAAATCTCAAATCTCATTTTGGGGCCGACATATCGCCTAAACAGAAAGTAAATTCTCATCCTAATCCTGAATCACTACTCCCCCACTCCCACCTCCTTCAACAAGGAGGTCAGAGGAAAGTCCGAGGTAGGATATCGCTCGCAACTAGTTCAGCAAGGAGAAATCGTTGGCATAAGTCTTCAACACGAGCAAGCGTTGCAATCACATCAGCTGTCAGTCCACTGCATCCGACTTCCGACCAAGACACTGGCAGTGAGTGGGAACCAGATGAGGAAAGTGAAGTAGAAAACCGACCACCGCTGGATATCTTCCCTGACCGAAACCTGTCGCCCTCGTCTAGACCCGATCGCGCTCGTCAACATCGTAAGCCCGTGTTGCATTTCGATGCGACCTCTAATTTACCTCAGCCCCGTGCCGTAAGGAAGAGAGTAAATCACGCAGTAATTCAGAGTGATTCAAGGTCGGAGGATGAACCAGCTCCCGCTTCACTCAACCCTAGAGCACTGGCCTCTCATCAAAAATATACGGTACCCAAAAATCCTGTGACTGAAGATCCTCTCCAGCCACGTGTCACACGCAAGACAGCAAATCGTCGAAGTCCCATAGTAATCCAAAGTGGTTCAGATTCCGATGAGACCAGGCCGATCATCTTCAAATCAAAATCCATACCTACAGAAACTGACTCACAGCCTGAAGGAGCTCCCTGTTCACGCCGAAGTCGGGCTGCCTCCGCCCAGCAAGACCATGCAGAACTCAAGGTAGCTAGCACTAAAACACGATCAAGAAGGCGGATCCAGGCCACGGACAAAGTACGTGAAAAGGCACCTGATCCTTTGCCAACAAAGGAGCCAAGTTCAGAGGCCTCAGAAGAAGAGGACTCCATTGAAATCGTGTCGAGCCAGAATAAAGTTGCAGCTGTGATCTCACAACTATCGACCCCCAAAGGATATCCTCTCAAATCTCGACAAGCAGCCAAACCCTTCCGACAAAACCATTCTCCCCTACCACAACCTTACGCGAATCCACCCATGGCAATTTCTCCCGTGATGAAAATTCACGGAATCCCTGTGGCTTTGGCTCCACCACCGGTACGGAGGATTCGCGGAAGATTATCACTCGCTACTAGCTCAGCGAGAAGAGCTCAAGCACGAACATTCTCTACTCATGCCCCTGCCACATTCGTTTCAATTAGTCCGGATGTTACTCGAGGTTTCCCCGGGGTGTATGGATCAACAAGACCCGATCCGCCTGGCTTTGAAGTTGACCCTTCACCTCACAAACCAGGACAAAAGACATTGGCTCCTCCTGCGCTGTACGCCTCTCCCCGCCGCCCAGGGATTTATTTGACGCCTGTGAAGATGAACAATAGATCAATGTCTGATGGTCATCAGGTCTGTTCGACATACCTACATCATCCAAGTCCTGCTAAGCGACCTGGTGCATCCAGAATCGTTCAAGAATTGTCTAGTCTACTTCAGACGTGTGAGCAATCTATCATTTATGAATTCACTAGCATCTTCAACAAGCCCCCAGCAACAATCTTCAAAAATCTTTCCCGCTACAGGCCTCTAACTGATGGCTCTTGGAGAAAGATTGCAGAAGCAACATTCTCTGAGGTGTATAGCTGGTCACCTGAAGAATGCTCTGACTCAGCCGACATGGGTTCCAAAGCGCATGAGGCTTTTGTGATGAAGGTAGTTCCAATAAAGCGATCAACATACCATAGTCAACGAAGACATGCGACCAAGACAGCTGATCAGAACTATGATGGTCGGGTCGGAATTGAGGCTGACGAGTTTCCGTGCGAAACAGAGTGGGTTGATGTTGAAAAAGAGATCAAGTTAGCACGACTGTTAGGTTCTGAAACTGAGAAAGGCTTTCTCAATTTCCGTGGGTAAGCTTTTGTCTATAACTTTTTTGGCATCCAATAAGCTTTTACAGAACTGCTACTGATGGTGCTTGTATTTTTTGAATCATGTTCAGTGCATTTATCGTCTCTGGAGCATACCCGCCTATCCTGCTCAAGGAGTGGAAGAGTTATCAACAACGCTTTCCTGAGAAAGTGTACAATCCAAGTCCAGGTGAATATAAGACTTTATCTTACATCGACTTGTAAAGCATTCCGCGCATCTTATCGTCGACGCTGATAGTATATCAATATCCCAGGTAAATTTTCTCGACGGCAGCTGTATTGTTGTATGCTATCTGGCCGAGCTGGCGAAGATCTTGAGAGTTTTGATCTCAGAAACTGGCAGGAGGCTGCGAGTGTGTTGTCACAGGTCGCCCATACATTGAGTCGAGCTGAGAGGAATCATGAGTTTGAGGTAAGCAATCTAGATATGAAGGCAATTGTGTGACTTTTAGCCTTATCTGGATTTTTTAGCATCGGGACCTTCATTGGGGTAACATTACAGTCCAACGTCATAAATCTGCACCCGAAACCACGGCTCCTACGGAAGCAAGCGGGCGTGCCAGTAATGGAGATACCTCTACTGATGAGCTTGTCAACCTAATGGCGAAGGCAGAGATCAAATCTTCAACTCAGGAGACACTGAGTTCTGCTAAGGCAAACATTTCAGTCACTCTCCTAGACTTTGGACTATCACGAGCCAGACTCCACATTGATGAAAGCCGGTCTCATGTCATCTGGACCGAACCAGATCCTGACATCTTTGGTGGTACAGCAGAAGCTGCCGATTATCAATTTGAGTGCTACGATCTCATGAATGCAGCACGAAAAGACAAATGTTGGAGAGATTATAACTCATTTAGCAATGTGATTGTCAGTTTGATCTGCTTTGGGTCATCTACTCTACTGTTCCATTCATTTCAGGTTCTTTACTAATCATCGCATGCTGTTTGGCTATAAAGTGGTTACATTATCTCGCTCGAAAATTGTTGGAAGAGAAAGGCTTGTCACCTCCTCGTTCCTCAGTCAAGAACTCTTCCGACTTAAATCTTCAACAAACTTGTTTTAAACTTCTTCAAGCTGCAGAGCGGATTCTCTCTGATGCAGTCAAAGCTGAAGTTGAAAGCCATCGTCGTCGAGCAGCGCGATTTTTGACGAAACGAAACGTCTCTAATCCTAGTACGAATCAAGATTCGATCAAGTCTGCTGAATCATTTACAGACTGGTGGGATTTGGAATGTACCAATCTGTTGGATTGAAATCTCCATGGTCTCATTTATAATCACTCATCTTGATTCTTTATGCTCTTTTAATGCCTTTTTCCTGATTTGTTTTTCTCTTCTTTCCAAGTTTGTGTGTAACAATGCTTCGTATCAAGTTTATTTGAAATTACTCCAAAGTACTACAGGAGGACTTTCTTAGTGGCGTTTTCAACTGTTTGCTTTTATAAGTCACTCCCTTACTGAGCATATTGTTGAGTAGTATCACCTGTACCTTGGATATCATGCCATATCGATAAGAGATTAGTAAGATGACTTCAAACTTACCTTTAGGTCAAAAAGAGAAGTTTTACAATATGTACCTGAGTTTGATATCAATTGGATAATCTCCATTTTGGGTTTCTTTTCAAAGAACACACTTCACAAAGCTCGTCAAAGGCTGTCATCTCTTGGGTCTACTTGTCCACTACAATATAAGCAAATACAACCTTAACAAGGAAGTGTTAAGATCTCTTTATATTCTTCTTTGCTATCTTCTCATGGTATTAGTGATTGACATTTGCTATGGTCATTTCAGGGAACCAAAGGTCCAAAACTTAGCGCAATCAGACTCCAATAGGAGTCTGATAAAAAACG